CAAATTTATGTCAAAATTGACGCTCGTATATGTCACTCTCAGAGCACCTAAATTTACAAAAAAAAAATCTAAGTGTGCAGTTCTATTATTTTCACTGAAGATCGCAAGATGTTATAAATTATCAACACTAATTCCCAACTTTTTCAACGGTCTAGTCGTTCCTGACGTTGCCCAAAATATTTCTAAATTACCTTAAAGTTGTCTAGACTGCCCTAAATTTCTCAGTAGTTTTTTTTTTTTTTTTTTTTTATAAGAGGCCACAATTTTACTGACATTAATTGAATTGCCTTGAAGTTTTCACAATTTTCCTTAAGTTGTATAAACATTATAAACGCTCACGAAACTTTGTCTTAAATCACTTATTTTCCCTGAAGTTATCTGGACATCCCTGATGTTTTCTATGCTTACCCGAAGTTCTCTAAATTTAATATTCCGGGACTTTTTCTATTATATATTCATAATTACCAAGTTTCAAATAACAGGCTTAAAGTGGTAATTTTTTACGATAGATGAGGAGATGATAGTGTAGAGTTGATAGTTCCGTTAGAGTACGGCAGTGTGAAAATTGTATATAGGGGTTGATGCATATATTATGTTACGCTATTAGGGGGGAAGGGAGTCTAAGATTTTGGGACAAGCAATGTTTTATGAATATGAAAAATGTCGCGATAGGGAGGAGGGGGGTAAATTTTTCCACGATTTAGCGTGACATAATTAATGCATGGGCCCTAAAGAGTAGAAAGCGAGCAAGGACAACTTTAAGGAAGGTACGAATCGGGATAATTATCTCTCTTAACCAAACTCCCCCGTTGGAGAGGGATGGTGAGAGGTACCCCCCCCCCCCCCCCCGACACCACTGGCAAAAAGAGATGATCACCGATCTGCTCATGTACCGACGATGTGTTTGAAACAGTTCTATCGATTGTACCGCACTCAAGTTATTATCTGAAGGGATGCATCGTCTCTTTTTGCCAGTGGTGGCGGGGGACCATCCCTCTCCAACGGGGGAGTTTGGTAAAGAGAGATGATTATCCCTCTCGTACCTTCCTCAAAGTTGTCCTTGCTCGCTTTCTACTCTCTATATACAATTTTCACACTGCCGTACTCTAACGAAGCTATCAACTCTATACTTTCATCACCTCGTCTATCGTAAAAAATGACCACTTTAACTCTGTTATTTGAAACTTAGCATATTCAACTATGTAAAATCGTTAACTTCACGCAGAAGTAATGCGAACATAAATATAGTTAAAGTATATTCATAATTCCCTGCCAATTCTAAAGTTTTCGGATCAATAATAGAATTCTGGGAATATCCTATAACTCTACGGAACTCCTGGCAAATTTCCTTAGGTTAATGGGATTGTTCTGAAGTTATCTGACCATCCTCGGAGTACTCGGAACTTCGCTAAATATCGTGAAACTATCTAAAAATATTTAAATTTTTAGAATTTCTCTGTAATTTCATTGCCATTTTTAAATAATAGAACTTCGTTCATGTGTTCTAATCATCTTAGCCAAACTTTCGCAATTTTGTTAAGTTCTTGAAATTTTCATGATTTAACTTTCTTAAAATACTCTCACATTTTTCGGCAGTTCATATAATTTTAATTGCGTTCAAGAAAGTATTTTTTTTTCTTGTTTCCGTACTGAGTAAGAATGCTACCGACACCAGGGAGGCAGCTCCCACACCTGGACCCTACCTATCGGCCCATTAACTCATGGACCGGAGACCAACGACTTTACTTCCCTTCCGAAGTAGAAATTCTCTCGGAGCTTTGCTGAAGTTTCTGCAGTTTCCTTGAAATAAATCTCGGTTCTGCTCTAGAATAGAACTCTCGTAAACACCCTCGTTGGACTTTTGTTATTTTTTAAATTTTCATAAATTCTCTGAAGGTGTGAAGGTCCTCTTTTTTTCAGCACCAATGATGGAAAAGTTCGCGAAAACTCACTATGACTAGCGAACTTTTCCCTTGGTGAACTTCGTGAAATATCGCGAACTTTTCCAACACTGCTCAGCACATCATGCTTCTAACTCACGATTTTTAAACTGCTCCAAAAGTCTGAACTAAAGTTACGGGAACTGCCCTTAAGAATTCTAAAATTCTTCAAAGATCTCTAGATCTAGCATTTCTGAGGTACTTCGAACTTCTTAAAACTTTTCACAATCTTCCTCAAATTCTCAATATATCTGAAGTTCTTCTATCGTTCTCTGAAATTCTATGAATTTCTTAAAAGTTCCAGCAGTTTTTCGGAAGCAAATAGAACCGGTTTGAGGTTCTTAAATCTTCCAGTAAGTTCCCCATATTATCAGGATGTTAACTTCCCTTATGTTCCCGCAGTTTGTTTATGAAGGTTTACTGAAATTCAAAGCATTTCTTTTCATTCATGAGAACTTCTGCAAAGTTTCTACATTTGTTGTGAAGTCAATGGGACTTCACTAAACAGCTCTAATCTTTCATGAAAAACCGTAGAAACCCGGGACAAACATTTTATTTTCAAAAATTTGTCTCTCAGAGATGCCATGGCCGAATAAATTTAATTTTCTTTAGCATCATTCCGGTGAGTGGATCTTACATCTGTACGGTGGTCTCCACCTCAGGCTCCTCCCTCTTTGTTATATATTCAAGGATGTGTTGACACGGGGGTGTTTTTTCAATCTTTATCATATATCTTACTTATCATAGCGACAACATATTGATTTTTTTATTACTCGAGTTAATAATAGAGAACAATCGTAAGAACCCATGTCTACCTTGGAATCGATTCCGGATGTTCCAGATTATGGTTCCATATGGTCAAATTTAATATTGAATATGTCATATTCAATTATCTTAAAGATAAATCGTCCAGCTCAAACCTTTGTAGGGGTAAGAGGTGGGACCATCATCATCATATCTCTCATAAACATATCATGCGACATATCACATCACTTCTACTCGATGAAATATGACCAATGGATCTCAAAATGATAACCATAGAGCCATATGGCACCGTAGAACCGGTTCCGAATATTCCGGATTATGATACCTTATGGTCATATTTGATATTTCTCATAACCATGTCAAGCGACATATCAAATCACATCTACTCGATGAAATATGACCAATGGCACTCAAAACGACTACCATAGAACCATATGGCCACCATAAAACCGGTTCTGGATATTCCAGAGTATATATCAAGAGAGAGATATCAAATTTGACCATATGAAACCATACTCTGGAATATCCAGAACCGGTTTTATGGTGACCATAAAGCATCATAATCCGGAATATTCGGAACCGGTTTTAAGGTGGCCATATGGCTCTATGGTTTTCATTTTTAGTGCCATTGGCCATATTTCATCGAGTAGATGTGATTTGATATGTCGCACGATATGGTTATGAGAGATAATAAATTTGACCATATGGAACCATAATCCGGAACATCCGGAATCAATTCCAAGGTAGACATGGGTTCTTATGATTGTTCTCTATTATTTTCTCGAATTCCAAGAAAAATATCAATATGCTAACGCAATGATAAGTAAGATAGGTATATGATAAAGATTGAAAAAACACCCCCGTGCCAACACATCCTAGAATATATAACAAAGAGGGAGGGGCCTGAGGGGGAGTACCACCCAACAGATGTAAGAACCAATCACCGGAATGATGTTAAAAAAAAATTAAATTTATTCGGCCCAGGTATTTCTGAGATACAAATCTTTGAAAATAAAAAGTTTGTCTCGGGTTAATTACAAACTTGAAATAAATCTTTTTCCTTAATTCTGGCACTTTGAAAGTATCTTGGACAAACATCGACAAGACACATTATATTTTGAGATGTGTTAAACTTCAACATAAAGCTATTTCTTTAAAACTGATTTTTTTTTTATCCATTTCGTTTATTTGGAAGGCTCAATCGCGTTAGCTTTACGGAGCCGATAATTCATTGTTCACTGTTTGTAACAAAATTCACTTAATTCTATGTCTAGTAGGAGTTGGGCCGATTACTCGCGGCTTACTCGAGGTTAGAGGGGTACATTGTTGAAGGATAGGATCAGGGGAGGAGCTTGGGGTAGGGTTTCGTTGTCTCATCAGAGCGTTGTCGCCAGTATGAATAGTAGTGCTGTTCTAGCTTCGTCTGGAGTTCGACCGGCTATGGTGACCAGTGGGCGACGATGAGACTCATCGGTTCTTTAAAACTGATTGTCATATATTAAAAACGTTGGGTTATTTGCTGTTGTTGTTTTACAAAAAAGGATATCTTTAATGCATTTAAAACATTTTTATAATTCTGAAAATTATCGGGTAAAGTTCTGAAAAAGGGGCTGTTCATTAACTACGTAGACATTTTTTGGGATTCTTGACACTACCCCCCCCCCCCCCCCTGCGTAGACAATTGTCCATACATTTTTTTTTTAATTTGTATGGACCATGGATAATTGAACCTGACTTAATAATAAAAATAATAATGAATAATGTGATATCCGTTCGTTACTTCCCACCGACTAGCACTGGAACGACGAACTTTTAGGGGGGCTAAACTGTCTTCCACGTAGCCTATACCTTATTACCTTATGAACAGCCCCAAACCTTGGAAAACCCAATTTTATTTAGTCAAATGAGTGACACCCTGTAGATAGTTCGTATTCGTTTACCTCAATATTCTGCGTTAGCAAAATGTTTTGACATAACGAATTATTCGAGATCTCTGAAACATCAGGAACTTGGACAACAAATCGGACAGCGCTAAGTGTGAATCTTCAAATAATGAACTATTTCCAAATGTAGTGCCGAACTTAAAAATTCTCATAAAATAGCATCTTATAGCCCTCGGAGTTCTCGCGATTTTCTCGCTTACGGTTATCTGTACTTGCCGACAACAAAACCAATCTTGTCGTAGGTACATATTAAGAATATTATTAAATTACATCCAGCTTAAATAGGATTGAACTTGACTTAATAAATAATAATGAATAATGTGATATCCGTTCGCTACTTCCCACCGACTAGCACTGGAACGACGAACTGGCACACCTAGCGGAATACAATGCCAAAAGCTGCCACTTTGCCCATGATGAATGCCACAACACTGCCCACTTCCGCTATACTGGCCAAAGCATCGGCATGAAGTGGTTCCACGGTATGAACTACACGGCAGCCCGAGTCGTGCGGGATCTGGTCCGGAAATGGTACCTTGAGCACAAGGAAACAAAACAACGCGATCTGGATCGTTTCCTGGTTACCCCTCACAGGTGAGAATTAGAAGAATTCTATAGCCATTTGCCTTCGTAATCAGTATTGGTCGTTTATCAACAGTTTCAAGATCGGCCATTTCACCCAGCTGATCCACGCGGACACCACCGAAATAGGTTGCGCCCTGGTCCGATTTTTCAAACATCACAACAACCTACAGTTCATTCATTACTATCTGGTCTGCAACTACTCCGAAGGTAACATCGAAAAACGACCCGTCTATCGAAAGGGTAAACGGTGCAGCAAATGTAAACACGGTTGTACCGGAGGAAAATACCGCTGTCTATGTCGCGGCTAGGATTGACCAACACTACGTGGTCTTCACCTTGAAAACGTAATACATATTCCCTACGTCGCTGAGTACCTGCTGTATGTATGCTAGGCTGCAAATAGATAGCTGATGAACAATAAACGTGTAAAATATATTTGCTTTAAGACACGCGTCCTTAATTGCGACAGTGAGAAATGAGCGGAGGATTAACAGGGTGTGTTTATTATTATCATGGTTTGGTTTTTCAACGTTTGTTTGTACGTGATTGCATTTGAAAATCACTTATCCAGAGCTCACAACAGCCGGTAGATTGTTCTAGGTAATGGTAGACGATAATAGGAGGCCTCAATCGGGAAGTTTTGTAACGTCAGAGCGGAAGTGTGTAGATAATGGAGTAACTGACATTCAAAACTTTTTAGACCCGACTTATTTTATATTGAAACCCTGTACCTTACACCATCCCCCAGTTCTATAGCACCGATTGCAACAAGATAACAGATACGCCGACATAGCACAACATGATAACAATGGAAAACAAATTTCGATCACGATGAACCAACATTGAAACTAAAACACATAAATTGCATTTAAATTTGTGAAAGAATTTGTGGAGAGAATAAATTCAACAAACCTTATCTATCTCCGCTCGAACGGTCGTTTTTTCATATAGGTTCTATACTTTGTTGTGGATCCGGTTTACCGTTGGAATGATATTATCTATTCTTTCGAGGAAGAATGATGAAACAATCCATGGTGCACAATGTTTGTGGGTTTAACGTGACTCGAGCATTGTTTGGATCCTAATTCTTCCGTCGGGTTAGTGACTCATAGCTTCCGCTTAAGCGATGGTGTTAGTCGATTGTTAGTAAGCAACCGTAATCTGCGGTTTAGGGTTGTTAGGAGTGTATTTAATTAGTGCACGCAGTAGCTTGAAATTATTCCTTCAGTTCATTTTATTGACTAATGTGCCGCTGACTCAGTACTTCCACGCCAGTTGAATTTCCGCTTTTTGTAGTAGCAGTTGCAAAATAGTAATGATAGTGCAATAATGTGCGATGCTAGTTTTCTGTTTTCTTTTTTATTAAATTGCTTAAAGTTAAAAAATTCGAAGAAACTTTCACGAAAGGGGACATTTTTGGGAGAGGGAGAACGCACGTATACACAGTTCCAATGCCTTAGGTTAAGCTTAAATAGAATGAGCTATAATTTTCAAAATTCAAAAAAGTCAACTAGATGATATTGATTTCCTGACTAGCTTCTAAAGACAATCTGTTCTAAGCGGCTGAGTCGCCATCTTTTCCCGGGGACAAGAGAATTGGTGTCGAAGGAGAAAGTTTCATGCCCGCCGAAGGGGGCACCACACTGCGTCGGATTCCACCATCACCGTTTTGGTGTTCAGAATTTGCTTGCATTGGAAGACCTCCTCTAGCTGAACTGAACGTGGTTAATTTACTAATATTGGCATCGGATGAAACATTATTGGCGCCATGACGACTTGTTCCCCAACCATAGCTACCGTCTCTAGGCATTGTGCTGTACGAGGTAACTCCATACGATGATCGATTCGTCATCGCTTCGAAAATATTGCTTGGCTTTTTAACCCGTATGGGAACAACGCGATTTGTTGGTTCGGAATTTTGTCTGGAATGACTTTGGAGCGGAGGTAAGCTCGGAGTATGCCGAGTACCGTTCTCCTGGTATTGTCTATTGGGATTATTTTTGATTGGTATTTTAGTTCTCCTCCCTGAAAGCATATCCTCGGATTTCCTACGCAAGTGTACCCCATCATCAGTGAAGATATACTTTATAGCCGACTGGTTGTCGCCCTGACCCGACTGAACCGGTGCCAAGTTCTCATTCTCATTTTCCTCCAACACCGAATCGTAGGACGATGCTAGGGAAAGCTTGTGGGCCGAATTGGGTGTATTTGGAACGGAACGACTCAAATCTGGCACCGAACTGTGTATACTGTTGCGTCCATTGGCCACCGGTAGCGCAAGGAAGGTACGGGACCGGGAAATGCTGAGCAGGCCACCGTGTAGCCGATAGGAACGGGAGTTAAGGGAATTGGTGCGATTCCGAATCTCCGGGGGAACTACAAAATCACCATCGAATTCACGTCGGTCAACTGGACCCCACTTTTGCTCGTACTCGTTCACCATCCGGTCGAGCTCTTTCTGTACAGTCTGCACGCCGAATAACAGCGGGAGTGGGTTGCATGATCCAATGTGTATTTAGATTGATTTAAAGTGAGCAGTAAGAAAAATAAAATGAAGGAAAAGGGTTATCGTAAAAAAGGGATTAGTATGTAATTCAATATATATACTTAGAATACGGTCACACTATCATAAAAGCCAATTAGTAATCGTTTTTACTCGCATACGAACGCCACATGCTATACCTTTTATTCTTATCGTCGCGCCGGCTAGATGTCGAATTGGTCACCTTGAATTAAATGTTACATTGTATACCATTGCTAAAGCATACGAACCTACCGATCCTACCTTACTTTTTCCCATTTGCTTTTATTCGTTCCTAAACATGACAGTGACACCGAAAATAGTTTTCATGTAGCTTCCATTGTAAACGCAAATGATTTTCATCTAGGTATAAACAAAATTAATGGAATTCATCTGAATTTCACATAACATTCATGCGATCACGTTAATTTTATACGATTTTTCGTATGAACTTCATCGGCCTCATAATATACATGTGATTTTGTGGAGGATTTTTAGCTATGTGATCACATGAAAGCTATGTGAAATTCACATGGTTTTCATCCATTAGATATGTGATCAATTATTTTAGTGGACCACTTTATCGGTCAATCCAGATTATCCGGAGAACCAGAATATGGCCACTATACCGCAAAATATAGTTTCCATATTAAATACGCTTTGATCTCTTGATTCTGGACGGCATTGAAACAATCACAAGGTTCTAGGACATTTTTTATAATGTGGCCACTTTATCTGTCGTTCCGAATCCTCCTTTAGGACAGTAGAGTTTCGCTAAGGGCGTTTATGGTGTCTTTACACCATATACACTTAGTACTATCAATTTCCAGTAATATACGTTAAGTAAAGTGTAAAATTATGTCCATAGATAGTGGCATTTCCTACTTTACCGGGAACTCGAGTTGATCCCGACGCAAAAGTCTCTGCTCAAGTCAAGAAGACGCATATTGCTAGCAGTGAAGTTCCGCCATTGATTAAGGAATCCGATTGCAGGCGTCCACTCGCAATGACGGTACGATGAGGAAGAGGACGAGAGACGATCGCTGCATGCTCTCGTAGAGGGATATTCAATACCGCACATCTCCCTCCTCCATTAAAAAAACAGCACTCGTTGTACCTTGAGAAGAATGGCTTCACGGAAAGAGGAAAGGAACACGTTTTTGTTACCTTCACTTACAGACAATCAGGTGTAAGATGTATCAATCAATGTTATTCATGATGATGATGATGAACATCTGCAACAACTGGTAGAAGTGGATACAATATTACACTTATCAACATTATGTTATCTCAAATTCTGTGTACATCGCACAGCGTGATATTACGCAACAACCGCATTGACCAACATGAAACAGTTTTTTCTGTATTCATCAGATTAGGAGGTGGTGTGTGTCTCCAGTGAGATGCCTTGTCTCTCTTATCATTTTCAAGAGGTAACATTTACTATATTTACCTTAAAAAGAAAACTGGCATCACTGATAATTTCTTATTTGGGAATAATTGCCAAAAACTTGCGCCTACAGTTGCTGTCGTTTCTGGATCTACACTGTTGTTCTCATGCTCGAGTCTCTTAATCTCTACCAGTTTCTCCTTTCCCTTTACAAACTGCTTTATCCTTTCCAATGATATCAAACATACTCAACTGGGGTGTCTTAGTTGGAGTAAATGCAACCATCTTCAAATTATCTATGTAGCTTAAATGTATCGCTTTGATAGATTTCTCTTTAATGCACAAACAAGCCATCTTGCAGAGCTCCTTAAGCGGAAGGTTCTACTTGAGGTTCTAGCTTTGATAGATATAGGTTCCGCTTCCGATGCTGCCCGGATGGCCATTCAACGACGAGAAAGAAAGATATCAGAGTGACTGTTCCACATTATCGGGAGCGAGACTGACCATGCTAGTTTTCCTTCACTGGTGCGTTCGACAATCAGTTTTGTTTGCATCCATCTTACCTCCTTGTCCATTCAACCCGTATCTTCAATTTGCTTATATAATTTTTTTAAAAGGCTCGATCCATCCCACCTGGTCATTATTTTGCCACTGAATTTGACTGAACTTTATGTAAATAAGCTTCTTTAAATTATACATCTTGCTGTTCAGCGATTCATCCAGCTTTAGGTAATACATTTTAACCATATTCTGGGGTTGAAATTTAAACATTACTCATAATTAGGTTTCCTGTTTTAAGCGTGTACAAAGAAAACATCTGTCAAAACAATGATTTTTTTAGGTGTTCGCCACCTTATTTGTTTACGGAGTATCTCACAACTACATTGGAGCCTGGTCAAACAGTAACGTCCATTGATGCTTGCAAGTTACAACCATCCCGAGAGCATTTCTCGCGCCAACCTTCAAATAGACCAATCTACATTGATCGATTCTCTTCATCGACTCTCTCTCTTTCGTTAATAACTCGGCTCCAAAAACATGGTCAGCTGTTCTTATTGTCCAATACGCTTAATAATACTTTCTTTTAACAGACTATGTAGAAAAACTATCCCGAAATATGAATGCAGCCAAGTTATTAACGAAAGAGAGAGTCGATTAGGAGAATCGATCAATGTAGGTTGGTCTATTTGAAAAGTGACGCGAGATTTGCTTCGCAGACTTTTGTTTTGATTTCCAAACCTCCAATGCGTCGCTCCGGTGGTCCTCCTAATGCACCATTAACCATGTTCGATCAATTTTTCACACCATAATTCACTTTCGATCATTATTCCGGTAGTTTTTCAGACGCACTACTAATTACTTTCGATCATTGTTTCGGTGGTCTTTTAGACTCACCTTTGACCAGCAATTGTCGCAAACAATTTATGAACCGGCTTGAAAACTTTGGTGACGAACCTGCTATTGCTATTTTTCAGTGTACCACATGGTAACACTACTACTGGATTGTACTAACATTTTCACCAAATGTACTAGAATGTTTTGGGTCTATCTCTTTCACTCTACTCAAAACTGAAATGCATAAAAAAAAATGACAAAATGATACACTTTTTGCACATTGTCAAAGTTCATTGCACAAAAAATCAACTTTGTTCAAATCAAAACAAAAATACTAGCCCATCTGATGGCTGATGGCACAAGCTTCTAATAAAATTCTATTGCAGTGAACCACATTATTTTAATAGATTTCTTCGCCACCCTAATAAACAAATACCGTAAAGGAACTTTATCCCGGATGGGTAAACTATCCCACATCATCCCTATCTTTTATGGTTATTTTTATTAGGGCAGTTAGTCGTCTGTCACTTCGTTTGTGCCAATATTTCGGCGGTCTTCTAGACACGCCATTGCATGTCGATTTCCGACGGATTTCGAGACACATCCATCTTTAAGTCAAACTGCACAGACTGCATATTCTTCAGTGGTCTTCTGGACACACAATGTGTTATGCCAGTCTACGATCGTTCTCAACCATAAGCCAGAAATTTATGAAATGCTTTCAATCAAAAGCTCCGGTGGCCTTCCAGACACACCTTGCAGCATTCCTAGCCCTAAAAAAAATGCGCAATGCTTTATTCCAAATGCGAGGTTTCAGTCAAAGCTCCGGTGGTCTTCCAGACACACCTAGTGGCATTTTCGAACCACAAGCCAAAAATCTGCGCAATGCTTTATGTCAGAATACGCAATTCTTTCAATCAAAGCTCCGGTGGTCTTCCAGACACACCTAGTAGCGTTTTCGAACCACAAACCAAAACAATCTGCACATTGTTTTATGCCATAATACGCAATGCTTATGATCAATGCTCCGGTGGTCTTCCAGACACACCTTGTGGCTTTCTACAAGCCAAATTTCACATTTTGTTCGGACGAAACTGTATGAAAAATGTGAATCCGTTTATAACAGACCCAGGAATGACCTGGCAGGATAGCCAATGTGAAGTCTGCCATTGATTGAGGAATCCGATTGCAGGCGTCCACTCGCAATGGCGGTACGATGAGGAAGAGGACGAGAGACGATCGCTGCGTGCTCTCGTAGTCTGAGGTTACATCTGCTGAGAAATGCGCAGGGTTATGTTCGTAGTAAGTAGTGAGCGGCTAGCATCTCTATGCGGGAGGTATTCAATAGCTTATTAATTCCGCTTAATCGTCTGTTCCGCATGTCTATCTCCAGTGGCATATTTCCATCCTGCTGGAGATCTACGCACATGTTTTCCGTCCACATAAAGGGAAGCAAACGAGCTGTGAATAACTATCGAGGAATTACATCGTTAAGTGCCGTTTAGAAGCTTTTCGAGCCGGTGATTATAGAACCGTTTCTGTCCCATTGCAAGCAGTATTTGAGTGCTAATCAACATGGGTTTACTGCCGGCCGCTCTACAACCATCAATCTACTGTCCCTCACATTGTATGTTATCGAAAGCTGTCGGAACGCTGCCGAGATGTTCTGAGACATAACATCTCTGATCACGCCTTCCTTCGGGAAGGGAATTAAAGCCGTTGGTCCCCGGTTCATGAGTCGATAGGTAGGGTCCAGGTGTGGGAGCTGCCTCCCTGGCGTCAGTAGCATTGGTGCTCAGCTCGGAAAACAAGATCGACGAAAAATTAAAAAAAAAAATAAAGCTGTCGGATCGTGTTCAAACGGACGTTATTTATTCCGACCTATCCGCAGCATTCGACAAGTTGAACCATGCTATTGCTATTGCTAAACTCGGCATGCTCGGTGTATGCGGTAATCTTCTGAGTTGGTTTCGATCGTATCTTACTGGTCGCCAACTAATGGTTGCCATAGGAGATTGTAGATCAGCTGGCTTCTTCGCCACATCAGGTATACCTCAGGGAAGTCACTTGGATTGTTGATTTTTCTAATGTATTTGAAAGACGTGCATGACCTCAAAATCTTCCTACGAATCCGCACGATCGCTGACTGTCACTTTCTTGAGCATCAGCTGAATGTATTCGCTAGTTGGTGCAGTTTAAACAGAATGAACCCAGCAAATGCTCAGCTATCACGTTCTCACGAAAACAAACACCGATGATATTAAGCTGCTTGACTCGACAATCGAACGCGTGAATCAACTGAAAGACTTGGTGTGATCTTGGCTTCGCAGCTATCATTCAAACAACACATTGCATATGTTGTCGATAAGGCGTCTAGAACGTTAGGGTCCATTTTCAGGATAGCTAACAACTTCATCGGCATCTACTGTCTAAACCTCTCTACTGTTCGATCAACGCTTGAGTATTGTTCAGCGGTTTGGAACCCAAACTACAACAACGGTGCCGAGAGAATCGAATCTGTTCAACGTCGCTTTCTTCGTTTTGCGTTGCGTAGATTGCCTTGGAATGATTCGTTTCAATTAGCCAGTTACGAAAGCCGTTGTCAACTTATGGACCTAGAACCTCTCCCCGATGTTCAACCCCGACCGCTTCGTAACAACCGCAAGCTAAGGCTGCCTCTACGTCGAACAAATTATTGATCGGTGCGATTTGCGGGCTTCAGAGTGTTCAACATAGTTGCATCATTCTTCGACTTTCATCTCACCCGTGATACGCGTCGTCGAAAGTTTTCTTCCGTTTTTCGCCGACAGGAGTAACTGTGTGTCCACCTTAAAAAAAAACACTAAAAAATTCGAATGATTTTCAACCAACTGAATAGCTCTAAGGCTCGTATACACCATGAATACAAATTGAATTTAAACACTAAACTAAGTCAAAACTCATATGATAAAAGATTAACATAATTTTGTAACCGAAGTATACAACCGTTGAGGTAAAATGAGCATCCTATCTGGGTGGCATGAGCAACCTCGAAAATAACCAGAAGATTTATGAAGGGTCAAAATTAAACAGTTTTAATGTAAAAAGAAAAAGAAACAATTATCTTCTGTATAATAAATTAAATTTAAAAACTATTATTTTTCGATTTTCCTGGGTTGAAATTAAAATCCCGGCTTTATTCCCGGTTTTCTTGGTATAATCCATAATCTTAAAAAAATAGAAATCACCCATATTTTCGCTTACGTTCATACATTCTTATTTTATATAAACCAACGCGGTAAACAATTCGACATCTAGCCTCGCTGCAAGTCACAAACCTACGAATGAATGGGTTAGAAAATAAATCAAAGAACTCAAGAAGCAAATAAGCTAACGACCAATCTTTTTGTTTTCTTCGCCAAATGCTACTGAGCTCTCAAAGCAACAAAAAGGAACGATAAGATTCCTTATAAAAAATCAAATCCAAAAATTAGCTAATATTTTACAAAGAGGGGGGGAGGCTACACTTTAGTTTCTAGTTCATACATAATTCATCGTTGGCATCAAAAGCCTTCAAAGAGGACAGTATATAGCTCACCTGTTTTCTCGGCAGAAGCTGCGATTTCCACTCGCGCAGTTCCTTCTGCAGTGCTTCGTCGCACTCGCGCAGTTTGGCGCTTTCATGCTCCAGCAGCTGTTTGCGTTTCTCGTTTTGCAACTGTTCCAGTTCCCTGTGTGTGTGTGCGGATGGAAAAATGTCATAAATGTTAGATTTTGACGGTTTATACGTGTTGAATAAGCGTTTTATGATCGCGCTTTATGACTGGTAATTCTCGTAGTTTATTAACAATTTACAGTTTGTCTTTTGCAATTTCATACCTGATGGAACCATCTGAGGTAGCTCGCAGCTCTTCCAGCTGTTTCATGTGCTTGGTTTCGAAACGGGTTTGCTCCTGGTTGTAGCGCTTCTTCTCTTGCTCTTGGAACTGTGAATGCGATTATATGCAATGTAAGTGACATGGCACATGGTATTCGAGGACAACTTACCTTCTTCAACTTCTCCCGTTCCTGCTCCGGATCCGTGGTCATCGAGATTCGCAACGACTCACGGAACATCATGTCACGAGCCTTTCGTTCGGCGCGGATTCGTTTCGGCAGGGCTCTCCTCTCAATGGTTTGCCGCTTCAGCAGTTCGTCCTCCTTGCGGGAAATCATCCTAGAAATAATTCACGGTAATTATTTTCATCGCTAGATAAATATTGACTGACCAATTAACTGACCTCTTTATCTGATCCAGCTCTTTTTCGTGACGAATGATCATCTGGTGCCGCTGCATGAAGCAGATATCTTTCACGTGTCGCTTCGACAATTGATGTTTGTCGTGAATATGTTTTTCTTCCAACTCCCAAAGCATAGCCTCTCGAGTTCGCATTGCCTGAATGGAATGGAAAATTTAATTTTAAAAATGTTTCAAAGAAAGGACATCCTTACCGTTTGCTTCTGCTGCAGGTAGCCTTTGTCGGCAGCGGATAACTTTTCACGATAGATTTCGCTGATTCGCCTCAAAGCGAGCTCGTGGTTTTCCGAGAGCGTGGACAGGAAGCTTTTTTCCCGCTCTTCGTGCTCGATTTCCATCGCCGTTTTCCGCTTGCGGAACTCATCTTTTCGTTTCTCCTTTGGCAGCAGGTCGACTTCTTGCTTGAGCAGTCTAATTTCCTGCTTGAGGCTGTCGCGGAACTGCCGGGGATTAAGTCAACATGGTGGGTTTATTAAGAAATTATAAACTAAACATTGGGCCAGATACTTACCAATTTCAAATCTCGTTCTTGCTCGGCACGAATTTTCTTTGATGTATTCCTAAGTTCAGTCTCTTGTTGCTGTTCGTACTTCTCCACCGTTTGCCGGTGTTGCCGAGCTAGAACGTCCATATCGGCCTCGAAGGTACGCTCCAGTTGAAGACGTTCCTGTTCGAACTTCTTCTCCTGCTGCTCTTTGGCGACCGCTTCCTTCTGCTGTAGATCGTAGAACTGCTTCTTCTCTGCCTTCTGAAGCATTTTAAGTTCCCGCAATTCTTGCTTGCGGAACAGATGATCGTCGTACAGTTTGTTGTTATCCTCGTCGCTGTAAATCACCTTGCTGGTAGTGGTCGTGACTTGGACGCCATCGATTTCGAACTTTCGCGTTCGTTTTCGTGTTTTCTTTTTCAAATTTTGCAGGTGAATCTCTTCCTTACTGAAGTTGCGCTGGCTGGGTTTTGTTCTGACATTGTTAACTATTGGTGGCACCTTGTCCTCTTCGACTTCAGCCGATGGCGGTTTACGGCGAAGTTGGACCTCTTCGTCTACCGACTGTTCGCGGCTATCGTGACTAGTTGTTGTCGCTATGCTCTCTGCATCGCTACGATCCAGCTGTTTACCACCGGCCACATGCTGTTGGTTCTGTTGGTGCTGCGGTTGTTGCTGCTGTTGAAGATGATGATGTAGCGGTGTACTGGCCGATCGAACCGAGCCTCCACCGTCCATCGATCCGACGCTGCTGTCGGGCGAAATCCTTTGCTTTTCCACAACTTTTCGCTTATTTACTATGATACTGACATCTTCCCGACTTCGATTGAAGTCGCCGTTCAACTTAGTACTAGAACCGCTTCTCAGCGGCGATGAAATCGACGAACCCGAAGGAGACCGTTGAGCAAATCCACCCGCAGCCGTTACCGTACTGCCGGTGCTCACGCTGCTAGTGCTAGTGGTACCGCCCACCGGATGGGACAGCATCATATCCACCACCTTGACATCATCACTCGATTCGCTGGGACCGCAACTCACATTTGACAGATCGCTGATGGAATCGTGGTGATGATTCTGTAGGTGTTGCTGCTGTTGCTGCAGTTGAAGATGACTGGTACTACTGTTGATCAAATGCGAAGAGTCCTTTACCTTGATCTCCTCTTCGCCTACGGTGACCACCGAAACATGACTAGTGTCCAATAGTTTACTGTTACTATGATTATTATTATTATTATTACCTGAAAAAATACAACATTTTATAAGCATCGATATTCCGAAATAGGGTGAACAATTCGACATCTGACATACCTAAATACAATTCATCATTGATGAAATCGTCCTGCTCTTGCGGCTGATCTTGATCCTCGCCGATGAAGACCGGACTCACGATCAGGACCTCACTTTCGTCTAGTTTACGTGCAATTTGGCCGCTTCCGGAACGCTGCAACTGCTGCTGTTGCATTTGTTTCCTATACTTGGGTGAGAGGTTTTCCAAGCTGTCCAACGATTGGAAGTCGTCATCCGTGGACGATTCATTCACGTGCGTTTTGTTCAGCTCGTTCGACACGATTACTACCTCATCGCCGCTGGCCTTTGGCGTGATGACACGTGACCTTCGTTGCGAGGATCCGAAGGACTTTGTGGACGATGCCGAAGAGGATGAACCGGACGGTACAACCGAGTTGTCGATTATCACCGGCGGGTGGCTCGTCACTACGGTTATCTGGCTGACGTTAGTGGCAAGACTGTTGGACGGATCCGCGAGTACGGTGTCGTTGTTGATCGTAATGGTCGAGGTGTTGTTGGTGTTGTTGATGGTCGTCTGTTTGCTGTTTGGTGTCGATGTTATCCGAATTTCGTCGTCGGGCAATAGTCGCGGTGGTACGGGATGATAGAGATCCTGTGGTTCGTCATCGAACGGAAGGGGTGGTTTTGGAATGGCAACAGTGGTATTTACGAGTTCTTGTTCTTTGGGTTTGGGTGAGTCGGTTCGTAGTTCAGCTGTATCGTCTCTGGATAGTTCGTCTGGAGTGAGCCCTCTGCTGGCGGATCCTGTCACTACCACAGCGTCTTCGGATGGCTGTGGCGACGAAGAAGGGCTACTGTCTTTCGGCGTAGTCTTCGGTGGCGATGGAGCGTGTTCCTTCTTCGGTGATCTGATCAGTTCATCGCTGCTCGCTTGACGATCCATGACCAATAGAGATGCTGGTGGTTTTGAAATCGATGTGGTATCAGGGCGATCAACGCCTCTGATTTCTGGGGTTTGAGGGGTTTCTGGAGGTGTAGGAGGAACCGTAGGCACAGCAGTCGTACCAACTCCGAGTGAACTGGGTGCATTTCGACTGCTTGGCGACGATGGAGTTTGAGGAGGCGGAGGAGCCGGTCCTTTCTCCTTTTTGATAACGCCTTTCTTTTCAACCTCAGCGCTGCTGCTGTTGCTACTGTTACCACTTGTGTTGACTAAACTTTCGTTCGGTTCACCTTCGCTTTCTTTGGCGGACCGTTGTGCGGCTGGTGGTAATACTGGAGCAGGAACCGTTGTAGGTGATTTCTTGGAATCACTTTGTACATTACTATTACTATCACTAACCACAGTCGCTGCTGTTGCTGCTGCTGCTGTTGTTGCTGGTTGAGAACTGGGCGCCGAAGAATTAGGGACAGCAGATGGCGATTGTGCTGGCGCAGCGGCGGCAGTGGCGCCAGTGGCAACCGCTCCCAATTTCGCTTTGCTATCATCTTCAACAGGAACGGGTGTAGATTCTTTCGAATCTCTGGATGATTTCGATAAGGATGTGGGAGTATCTGGAACTTGACAGAAAGAACCTCATTAAAGTGCATCCGTGAATCAGCATTCCTGCGGATAATGCAAACCGAATTGAACTTACGTTTATAGGTTTCTTGACTTTGTAATGACGATGAGTCATCGTCCAAGTCGAGTGGGAGCGCAGAATTGCGGGGTTCCTGATGGCGGGTTGAAGCATCCAATAAAGCAACGGCGATAACAAAGAAAAAGAAAAAAAGTGTAATTAATAAAACCTCTCCTCGTTACTCAATTGAATGGAAAATTGAAAACAAACAATGGAGAACCCAAGCTGTAAAACTAAACGTGTATACTAAATCAATTAGCTCAAATTGGATTCCAGGTGTTTGGAGATTTTAAATCGGGTTCTCAAAAAGGGTTGTCAGCGACCTTTTGGTAGGTTTCCCAGAGCGGTCAAAGGTTCAACTAAAAGCTTGAAGCCTTTCACTGATTTTGCATTGACATACTGCAAACCACCAACGGAATCCAATTGTTTTCAAACCAAGTTATAAATCAATTATCAAATCATATAGAAACAAACTGAACTGAAAATCAAAATTCAGCTAATTCAAAATGAACGGTTACAAATAATTTAATCCTACAAACTAGTGAACAATTGCCAGACTAGAAGTTTATACGCTAGATGCACATTCGTTCTACTTATGTAGGTATAGAGAAACAGAGATAAAAAGAGAGAAAGACCGCCTAAGGCGAAGTGAACATGAGCGAGACGATGGAACGGAACGTATTTACAGTAAACAGCACACACCGGAGAGGTGTGGCGAAAACAACTCCGGACCAACAAAAAAACAGTGTGTTCCTCCTGCGTTTTGTTTTGCCATATAATGCCAATCCGCGCAGCATGAGAGGAGGTTCTAAAACACACGAACAGCCAACAACTAACAATTTGGAAAAAAGTTAAACCTCAACCGCACAGGCTTGAGCCACCTCCGCGATCGACAACTATAAATGTCTCTTCTTGGTTTCAAACGCTCTAGTCTGACAAACTTACCAACCCTCTGATAGAGCGATCTGCGCTTCGCTTGTCTTTTAGCTTTCTAATGATTGTGTTTTGGGTGAGTGAATCAATAAAGATTGTTTGATTACGAGCAGCGTGCCAGAGTAAAGAGAGACAGTAGAACAGATTTAACATATTTATCGAGAATGTTGGCTCACTATCGATAAAACAAATTATTACCTCCGCTTCTTCATCCACCAGTTCCTCCTCAACGACATCAGCTTTGTATTCCAACAGCAGATCCTTGATTGGCTTCGAGTCCAAATTGCCACTGATAAATGGCAGCCCCATAAGTACATCGGTGGAAGGCCGTTGTTGAGGATCCTGAAACACAAACGATCATTTTTTAGTGCCCCTCATTCCCAAAAACAATCACAATCCAACTTACTTTGACCAGAGCTTTTGCCAGAAACTCATTAAAGCTTTTCGACCACTTGGAGGGTTGATCCAGCTTGGGTGGATCGCTCTTTTGAATCTTCAGTAGCACCCGCATCGGAGACATTTCGCTGTTCGGTGGTTCCATCTGTGCAAACTCGATCAACGTGATGCCCAGCGACCAAATGTCCACCTTGAAGTCGTACGGATTGTCTCGAAACGTTTCACACAGCACCAGCTCCGGTGCCATCCAGTACGGCGTTCCGATGAAGGTATCATGTTTCTGCAGTGTGTGCTTGTTTTTCGCAGAAACACCGAAATCCGCTGTAAGAACGGTACATGTGATATAGCCGTTAGTAAATGACACTGCTTTTCCTGTTGTAACACACTTACCCAACTTGACACCACCGTCCATCGTTAGCAGTACGTTGCCGGCTTTCAGATCGCGATGTATCACCTTGTTCTTGTGCAAGTGGTACAGTCCTTCAACCATGTGTTTACAGACGTATGCGACCTGTGGCTCGGTCAGAGGTTTCTCTAGTTCAACCATAATACTATCTAAGGCACCGCCATCACAATATTCTATCAGCATCTGGAAAGATGGAGGAAAGAGAATTACATTACTATCATCGCGAACTGAACAAGAATGGCTGTATGATCGTTTTGGATATTGGTGAGAAAGACACGGAAATTTATTGACCGTGTCTTATGAGTAGTATGAGCGAATATATTTTCTCTCATTTTGCTGTGTTGAGAATTTTTCAATGAACAAATTACCTGTTGTTTTCTAGCTCGTCGGGAGCAAAGTAATAAATTGCTTAGATGCATAATTTTCAAGTGAAACCACCCTTAGAAAAAAAAAAAAATCAGTGGCGTCCCGTAACCTCACCTTTTTACCTGTCTAATTTAATGCCATAGGGTTAACTACCCCATTTTCGGCCTATTAAGCACAACCCGCACTTTGTCTTTCCTAATTTAGCGCAGTTTAGTACCAAACGGAATGTTATTATTACTGATGGCTTCCAAATGTATTTACCTTTCCGTATGTACCGTAAGATTTGATAAAGAGAAACCAATCATTGAGATATTGTGAAAAGTCTAACACTGCTTCTTGACGCCAAACTCGGCCTATGGATTCTAAACTCGGCCTAACACATTGAAACACCATTGAAGCGCCAATGAATTCACTTCGGCCTATCGGATGAAGATAAAAATTGATTCAGTCGGAGCGCTTCTTTTGTTTTTAGGAACAATGGGTGCAAACCATTATATCACGCGTTCTCATTAACTTTGTTTCGTAGCTTATTAACTAAAATATCGTACCAAACGCATAATTGACTTGTTAACTCTGAAATCATGGATCTATTTGAAGTTTTCTGCTAGATTGGCCCAAAATGGGCGATTAGGCCGAAGTAGTTCTCTACCCTATTCATACTCGAATCGGTTGAAAGATACACTTAATCTTCTAGTTCACTCGATATCTATCCATTGCCAGCAATATTTTGATAATTCTAGATAGAGCTGGAATTAGGGCGTAACAGCTTTTGTAAACAATGACTTCTATCGATGATTTCTAGAAATTCAAGGCACGTCCACGCAGACCAACATCACCATCGGATAGGGAAAGTCTTTCCCTACCCGATGAGTATGTTGGTTTGCTTGGGCGAGCCTTGAATTTCAAGAAATCATCAAGAGAAGTCATTGTTTACAAAAGCTGTTAGGCCCTAATTCCAGCTCTATCTAGAATTGTTTATGTTTTGAGAGTTGGGGCACAGATACATTGAGGTTAAGGAAACGCCACTGGAAAAATATTAAAATTTACAAAGACAACTCAGTAGATAGAGACATTGGATGTGGAGAAATTCAGAATTCAGAATCGTTGTGATATTGTCAAAATTCTAACACTGCTTCTTGACGCCAAACTCGGCCTACGGATTTTAAACTCGGCCTAACGCATTGAAACGCCACTGAATTCACTTCGGCCTATCGGATGATGATAAAAATTGATTCGGTCGGAGCGCTTCTTTTGTTTTTGGGAATAATAGGTGCAAACCTTTATACCACGCGTTCTCATTAACTCATTAACATTAACAAACGCTTATGTAGGGGAAATGGCTCTAATGTTGGCCTATGGATCTAAAGATTGAGCCCACCAATACAAATCTTCAGTTCTTCTATTTTTTTCTAAGAACGATGCGTCAACCTCACAAACAAATAGATATTTTTAATTGTTATAGAAAAATCATCAAAAATTGCTTTCCTTTGAAATTTGTGTATGGGTTAAATATTAGAGACACTTAGGCCTACATGAGGGATATTAACCCTAGGTACCAAATTAATCTTATTTTCGAGCAGTTCTCGGACGACCTTCTATTAGCAATTTAATGAAAATGAAGCAATAAATTCCAGATTTTTCAAGCTTATCCATGGTTCAGACTAGAGAGTTATAGCATAATGCTACTTCAATGTGTTTTTTTGTAATATAAATTAATATAACATGTTATAACTCTGTAGTCTGAACATGGCATAAACATGAATAAGACCCAATTTTCGCGAGGTTCTACACGAATAGAAATATCCTTATACCTTTTTCCATATTTCTATTGCTGATTATTCATAAAATGTATAAGTCAACTAAAGGGTGATACGGTCAAAATTTGGTCAATATCAACTTGACGTATTTCTTTCAATTTTGCATTTAAAAAACCTGAACACCCCTCATTTTGAAGGTGTGTGTGTGTAGAATGTTGCTCCTATTTTGATTTTGGAATTCACTCTTCAGTTGTCAAAATGCCGTCCAAGCAAGAAGAGCAGCGTATCAAAATTTTGCTCGCGCATCGCGAAAATCCGAGCTACTCGCACGCAAAGTTGGCAAAATCGCTAAACGTTGCCAAATCAACCGTTACAAATGTAATTAAAGTGTTTGGGGAACGTTTGTTGACAGCCAGGAAGTCTGGATCGGGGGGAAATCGAAAACCGGAAGCCGCTGAGACGACAAAGAGAGTTGCCGGTAGTTTCAAGCGAAACCCTAACCTCTCTCTCCGAGATGCCGCAAATAATCTGGGTGTATCGTCTACAACCGTGCATCGAGCCAAAAAACGAGCCGGACTATCGACTTACAAGAAGGTAGTGACTCCAAATCGCGATGATAAACAAAATACGACGGCCAAAGCGCGATCCCGGAGGCTGTACACGACGATGCTGACGAAGTTTGACTGTGTGGTAATGGACGACGAAACCTACGTCAAAGCCGACTACAAGCAGCTTCCGGGACAGGAGTTTTATACGGCAAAAGGAAGGGGAAAGGTAGCAGATGTTTTCAAGCACATGAAACTGTCAAAGTTCGCAAAGAAATATCTGGTTTGGCAAGCCATCTGTACCTGTGGCTTGAAAAGCAGCATTTTCATAGCTTCCGGGACTGTCAACCAAGAAATTTACGTGAAAGAGTGTTTGAATAAACGTCTGCTGCCTTTCCTGAAGAAACACGGTTGTTCCGTACTGTTTTGGCCGGATTTGGCATCTTGCCATTACGGTAAAAAGGCCATGGAGTGGTACACCGCCAACAACGTGCAGGTGGTTCCCAAGGACAAGAACCCTCCCAACACGCCAGAGCTCCGCCCAATTGAGAAATACTGGGCTATTGTCAAGCGGAACCTAAAGAAGACCAAAAAACTGCTAAGGGCGAGCAGCAGTTCAAGGCAAACTGGCTTTCTGCGGCGAAGAAGGTGGACAAGGTGGCTGTACAAAATCTGATGGCAGGGGTCAAGCGTAAGGCCCGGCAATTCGGATTTGGAAAAGCGGAAGCCTAACTGAATATTTTTCCTGAATTTTATACTAATTGAACTTGAAAAAGAAATTTAATTTGATTTTTTAAATAAACGATTTCACCGATTTACACGCGTTTTCCCTTGACCAAATTTTGACCGTATCACCCTTTAATAAGCAGACACCTTGCAAAAAGTTAATGAAGATCATGTGTCAAATGAAATGTATATGCGGTCACACATACCTTTTATGCATTCTTATAGGACCTATGTGGTTTGTCTTATGGAATGTATAAGGCTGATGTTTTATCAAAAACGTAAAGTGAAACACATGAATAAAATAATTGATTTTCGTTTCGTGTATAACAAAAATATGAAAATATTGTTTCACGACAAAGGTTGAGTGGCATTGGTAACGTCATTTAAAATTTTCAGAATGATGTGATCCATTGTGACTGGGGTGAAAAATAGGACACATTAAAATCCAGGCTACTACACCAAAAATAGTTTCCATGTAGCTTCCATTAGAAACGCACATGATTTATTATTATTATTATTATTTAGCTTTATTTAGGAGGCTTTCAGCCTTAGGCTGGTTTGCCTCCATGTCGCACATGATTTTCATCTAATAACAAAATTAATCATATTCATCTGATTGTCTTATAACATCTATATCTATCGTTCACAATTATATGGGCCTAACTACCGCGATCGATTATCTACATCGATTTTCTCTTTGCATTACTACAGTTAATGAACAGATTTGCCCAAAGTTTCTAAGTACAATATAGTAACAGGTTGTATTAGTTAGCAAAAGCAACATCAAATGCATCGATAAATGTTCATCCAGCCGAGTTATTAACAAAAGATGAAATCTTTTAAGAGAATGGATCATTGCAGATAGGTCCTTATGATTCTGAAATAATGTCCCTTCACAGAGTTCTTTTCAGAATTATTCTAAGATAAATTTCAGATTCTCTCTGGGGGTAGCTAGAAATTGTCTTTATAACAGTCGAGAAATTCTCGGCACAGCATTCCAAACAATTTATGAACTTTGTACTTGGATTCTAAACTAATTTCATTTTTTTTCTATGAATTCACTGAAGCTTCCTTCCATTTGTTTTAGTCGTTTGAATTTTCCTTAGTAGTCCAATGCAATTCACCTCAGAAGTGGATTATCTTGGAGTTCTCCTCTAAATTCTTCTGAAAATACACTTGGAACTCCCTTTATAATTATCTAGATATTATTATCTAGATCCCGCATTGACGCATTGACTCAGCTGATCTATTGTCAAGGTTAAATTTGTATGCACCTTCCCGACAATTACGCAGTAGATCGCCATCGGACCAATTACGCTAAATTTGGACCGGTAAATCAGATGATGACTGTTTATAATCATCATTGTGAAATGATTGGCCTAAATATGCCCTCAACAGAATTAAAAATATATTTCAGAACCCTGCGAAGACATAGAACATAAGTCCTAATGTTAATATGTAGTCTACGATTTGATTGATTGACGAATGAATAAATAAATAAATAAATAAATTATCCTTGCAATTTTTTTAAAACCCTTCGCACAATTTCTTTGGAATTGTACCCTTAAAATTCGATTTCCTTGGTATTTTCCCGGATACTGGAATCCTCTTCACAATCGCCATGGAATTTTTCACAAAATCACTTAAAACAAAAACTTTGAACTCACACAAATTACGTGGAGTTCTCCCAAAAAGCATTGGAAGCAGAATAAGAGCTTATTCAGACAAATATATGCTTCTTCAGCTAAAAATGGCCTATTCAGCATTTAATAAGCACACATTATTGTTT